CATGAGAATCTAGTCAAGTTTAATACACGTCTGGACAAATCACTAGACCTGGTTTTCATAAACGACCGTGATGTATATGAAACCCGAAGCAGAGCTCCTTTGTTAAACTCTGACCACTGCATTATCCGTATTTTACCGAAAGTGTACGGCAAGTTACAACAATAATTGTTTAGTCATTTAACAAAGAAGATACATGAACGTTCATATTCCCATGACAACATTCTAGCACTAAGAAGCATGTTGTATGATACCAACTGGGAACTATTTACTGACGATAAGTTGGATGCTACTGTCTCTAATATAACCGATTATCTGAAGTTTTGTTTGGATATTTGCTGTCCATATGAAACACTGTTTTCGAGATTTGACAGAATCTCTTCTTTGCAGCTGAAAAAACTTAGAAGACAAAAAGAGAAGTTGTATAAGAATTGTGATAATACTGGTGTCCGTAAAATAAACACCCTTATAAAAATTGAAATAGAAAGGTTGAACAGACTCTATAATGAAAAATGATTATCCTGTAAAAATCCTTCAAACATTTGGAAACTTTTCAATAAACTTACAAGTAAAAAACAAATGTCTGTTGATGCTTATTCTGATGTTAATGCTTTAAACAAATCATTTATCATGAAACAAATTAATATGCCTGTACCTGATGTACCTAGTCAAGATAATGGTCATTTTCCGGGTTTTAAAGAAGAGGATGTACTATTATGTTTGAAATCTTTAAATCCAACACACAGTCTTGGTCCAGATGGTGTACCAGGCATTCTTCTTCAAAAGTGTGCAGACATCTTGTGTCATCCTCTTACTCAAATCTTTATTGCATCATGCAACAAGGAAACGGTACCTGCTGACTGGAAAGAAATCAAGGTTGTACCTGTACAGAAATCATCTTCTGGAGCAGGTATAAAGTTTACACCGGTCGCTATAACATCTCCTTTTTTGAAAACTATGGAGAAACTTCTTTTGAATATTCTTAAACCTCCTCTAAAAGCTTTTAGTGACCCTAAGCAGTTTGCTTATAAGTGTGGAAGAAGTACATTAGATGCAGCCGTTGTACTACACCACAATATTGTTTCCTGCCTTGATAAGGGTGCTAAGTTCGTTCGAACAGCCTGTTTAGACTATACTGCAGCTTTCGACTCTGTTCCCAGGACACTTTTATTAGGAAAGATGATTTCAGCACAGACAGAGACCTGGGCAACTAGATGGCTGTCTTCTTATTTTAAGGATAGGAAACAGCATACTGTTTGACTGGAAAGCGCTCCACTTCACCCAGCTAACTGAAAGTGATGTGCCTCAAGGTGCAGTACTTTCTCCATTTCTTTTCTCTTTCTTCTTGCATGACCTTCCGAACTCACCCAAAGTTAACTTCATTT